GCACACTATGCAATCCCATAAGAACAAAAATTAGAAGCCATAGTATATATTCAAGGGAAATGTAGGATGAAATAAGAAATAATCAAATAAACAAATAAGTTAAATGACGAAAAGCCATGCAGTATTATGAGACAAGGAACCTCCAAAATACATTTGAATATGATTTCCGATGTCCATCTACTGCAGGACATGCAGCCTACACTTAAGAGTAGGTGATTTCCTCAGGGAGATGCCCTTAGAGAAAATTGTTTTTCCATTTTCATGTTGTTATCAATTGGAGATAGTTTCTGGGTTAGGGATAGGTGCCTCTTTGCACTTATCATTTCAGCTCTAGGGCCCTATCTAGTGCAGGTCCATGCAGGCCCTGTGCATGCTTCCCCTGTCTCTCTGAATTTATATGTCCAACTATCCTTTTGATGTAGCAGCCTTATTTCCTTGGTGGGTCTCTCCTCTCTGGCTCTTATACTCTTCTTTCCTCTTTTTCAGTGTTCCATGACCCTGAGGGATCTGATGAAGACATCTCACGTAGTGCTGAGTGTCCACGTTCTCTCACTCTCAGAATATTGTCCTGCTGTGGGTCTCTGTATGTGTTCCCTTCTGTTGGAGGAGGAAGTTTCTCTGATGATGGCTGAGCAAGACACTGATCTTTGAGTGTAGCAGAATGTCATTGTGCATAATTTTATTGTGATCTTCTTTTTATAGAACAGTAATATTTATTCTTATCCTAGGTTCCTGGACTATTTAATCTCAGATTCTTGGTCACTCAAGTAGTGGAGAATATTAGTTCTGTTTCTTGTGGTTTGGATATATTGTACATTCATTTTTATTGAATTCTAGGAAGTCTTTAACTTCTTTCATTATTTGATCCTTGAGCCAGTGGTGATTCAGTTGAGCATTGTTCAGTTTCCATTAGTTTGTAGGATTTCTGTAATTTGTGTTGTTGTTGAATTCTAACTTTAATCCATGATGGTCTGATAAGATAGAGGGGGTTATTCCAATTTTTTTTATATCTGTTGAGATTTGCTTTGTGACCTGGTATATGGTGAATTTTAGAGAAGGTTCTATAGGGTACTGAGAAGAAGGTATATTCTTTTGTGTTTGTGTGGAATGTTGTGTAGATGTCTCTTGAGTCTATTTGAGTCATAACATGTTAGTTACCCTCTTCTTCTGTTAAGTTTCTGTCGTGCAGACCTGTCTATTGGTGAAAATGGGGTGCTGAAGTCTCCCACTGTTAGTGCATGGGGTTTGATGTGCGATTTAAGCTTTAGTAATATTTCTTTTACATATGTGGGTGCCCTTGTATTTGGGCATACATGTTCAGAACTGAGACTTAATCTTGATGGATTTTTCCTGTGATGATTATGTAATGTCCTTCCCAATCAGTTTTGATTAAATATAGTTTAAAGCCTATTTTGTTAGATATTAGGATAGCTACAGGAGTTTACTTCTTAAATTTTTTATTGGGAAATATTTTTTCAACCCTTTACTCTTAGGTGGTGTCTGCCTTTTAAGTTGAGGCATGTTTATTTTATACTGCAGAAGGATGGATCCTGTTTTCATATCCATTATGTTAGTCTGTGTCTTTTTATAGGCAAATTGAGTCCATCAATATTAAGGGATATTAATGGCCAGTGATTGTTCATTCCTGTTATGTTTTGGTGGTAGTGTGTGCGTGTTTCCCTTCTTTGGTATTTGCTGGTTTGTGAATATCTACTGCCTGTGTTCTGTGGGTGTGTTTCACTCCCTTGGGTTTCAGTTTTCCTTTAGTGCTTTCTGTATGGCTGGTTTTGTGGATAGGTATTGTTTAAATCTGGTTTTGTCATGGAATATCTTTTTGACTCCATCTATGGTGATTGAAATTTTTTCTGGATATAGTAGTCTGGGCTGGCATCCTTGGACTCTTAGTGTCTACACAATATCTACCCAGGACCTTCTGGCTTTCAGAGTCTCTATGGAGAAGTCAGGTGTTATTCTGATTGGTCTGCTCTTATAAGTTACATGGCCTTTTTCCTTTGCAGCTCTTAATATTCTTTCTTTATTCTGTATGTTTAGTAGTTTGATTATTATATGTTGAGGGGACATTATTGGGGGGCTCTGATCTATCTGGGGTCAGAGAACA